GGAGGATCGAAATGCACCAATCACAGCCGACCTTTGTGATATAAATGATACCGTGCAATCAGTCGACCTTATCGCCTGAAGAAGACTAGCAGTAAGCAGTCGAAACGTTGTAATCTACATCTCAAGTGACTACATCCTGAGACAAACGATAATACACTTTATTATTGCATCTACCACGATGAATAACAACAACCTTTTCCTCAACATATTCCTAAGTTGTAAGGAAGAAAAAAACACTGGGTTTGGGATTTCAAAACCATTTGACAGTCATTATGTTGCCGTTTCATTGTGAGTGAAAATATGTGGTTGTTGTCGAACAGGGCCTGAAGCAGGAGAAACATGTAAACCATGAGGAACTTTATTTTGTTGCCTGTGCAATTATACATTACCCATCCAAGGAAAGTGTCACAGAAGCAATTCACCTTCCACCAGAACAAAATGGCATACATTTAATTTAACAGGAGTCTTTAAATTAAATTATTTTTTTATTTTTTTTGCAGGTCGATGATGGTTACGACAGTGACATTTATTTAAACAAATTTATGGTTTATTACATAACAAGTACCTTGGTAAGTTTGTACATTTGTGTAATACCCACTGTGTATTAAGACAATTAGGTATTATTAAGTTTTATTACATGGCTGTCTCACAAGGACTGGAAACTACCAAATTCACAAATTTGATTGGCTGAAATCAATGTTGAAAGCAGCCTAGATTTTCCCATCTAGACTGGCATCTAAACCGGTAATTTTTTGTGGTGAAAAAGTCGCAAACTAAAATGCAAAATCCTTGACTATTCAACAAACAATATTTATGGAAGTGCCAAAAAGCCTGATGAGAAAAAAGTAAAGAGGACGAACAAACCTTGGCAGAATTATATTCAGCTCATTGCCGTTCACAAGCAAAATATCAGTTAGTACAAACCAGTTACATTAAACGGATTAAACTGGTCTTGTTTCACTGCCATCAGAGCTTAGTAGGTCTGTATGGGAGAATCTTGACCTTGGTCATGTGTACAGACCTCACTACATTCGGTCTGTACTCACAACCTCAGTCAAGATTCTCCCATACAGACCTCATGCTCGGTTAATAAGAGCTAATACACATTATTAACAAATTATTTATTGCTATTCTTGGGTACTTATTACCATCATTCTGTTCTTCCTGATACAGCGATGATCAACAAAATGCAACTTAATTATCCATTTACTCAGAAATGTTAAAATCAATGTGAAGTAATAGTTATTGTATGCTTGTTCAAAGATGTAGATGTATTTATTATATGAACAGGTTGATAGCATATTAAGCAGTGCAACAGTCTACAAATGTTTGCAATTGTTTCAGTTTATACACCCTTTGTTGCTTTATCTGCAAAGCCGTTAAATGAATGTTGCTATTAATAAAAATGTCTACCGAAACCCACCACAATATTTGGCCAAAGCCATCACTACCCTTGACCAAATACCCCAACCCTTGACCAAACACCACAACCCTAGACCAAACACCACAACCCTTGACCAAACACTACAACCTTTGACCAAACACCACAACCCTTGTCCAAACACCACAACCCTTGACCAAACACCACAATCCTTCACCAAACACCACAACCCTTGACCAAACACCATAACCCTTGACCAAACACCATAACCCTTGACCAAACACCACAACCCTTGACCAAACACCACAACCCTTGGCCAAATACCACAACCCTTGACCAAACACCACTACCCTAGACTAAACAGCACAACCCTTGACCAAATATCTCAACCCTTGACCAAACACCACTACCCTTGACAAAACACCACAACCCTTGACCAAACACCACAACCCTTGACCAAATGTCACTAGAACCCTAATGGTCAAAAAAGACCACACCTGCTGACAACACCAGTACTCATAACCAAAGATCACCACAACCCTTGATCAAAACCACCACAACAATTTATGAAATGCCACCTTAAGCAATGAGCATTACAATCCTTGACCAAAATCCATTGCAATTGATAACTAAAATCCACCACAATTGATAACCAGAAGCAACGACAATTGATAACCAAAGGCAACTGCAATAATATTATTGGTAACCAAAAGCAATCACAATTTATAACCAAAAGCAACTGCAATTGAAAGGCCACGTGCAAGAACGTCCCCTAGATTTTTTGGCCATTTTGAAAGTGTTCAAAAATAGCTGAATTTTGGCATGTAGGCTTCATTTTACCTGAGAAACATTGCTCTGAATTTTTTTTGGCTGGGGTGCTCTTCATTCTCGAGAAATAACTTATGCAAAAAGCTCAGTTTTCCAAGCGGCATCTTTTGGAGATCTTTTGTTGAACAAAAAACAAAAGAAACCTTATTATTTTGTTGAACAGCAAACAGGCAGACTGTTTATAGTCTATTCCACTGAATCTTAGCTGTCTTAAAGTCAAAGGAAAATAGTATATAGAGCGGAAATCTGGGAACAGATTGTTTACATCGGTTATTGTGACGTAAAC